GGGCCTTCCCACGGGAATCTGCTCCTGTTGAGGCATGAGAGATGGTTTTTATTAGTAACACAAACAGCAACAAGTCTGCTGGACTGAGGATGGCTCAGGGCAGCAGTGGAGGGAGAGGGGTTACAGGGAAGTGACAGGAGGTAAGTTTTGAATCCCCTGTGGTTTCATAAATGAGCCACAAGACAGGAGAGGGGAGTGAAGCATCTTACCCCCTGGCCAGGTCTCTGAAGAGCAGTTCCCTGGGTCTCTGTGTATCCCCACAGCTCTGGGGCACCCTCCTCACCTCCTGACTTCCTGTTGCCTGGGTCAGTGCTGCAAGCATCATCCCTGAGGAGTCACCATGGGTGGGCAGCCCATATAGATTTTCTTTTTTCTCTTCTCAAAATTCCTTTTACTCTAGGGAGGACACTGTACCATTCTCCTTAGTCTGTGCTGGAATCCCTCCTGAAGTTTGGCTGCTCTTCTCCGTGGGGTTAAAGGGTCTCTGAGCAACTCCCACTCAGTCCACTTATGTGGCTGGTTTGGGACAAGATCAGAGAGGACTGGCCCACGGACAACACCAGTGAAGCAAGGTTTCCTATTAAATACCTATCCTGAAAAAGACTGTGGTGTAGACTCTCTGATGTCTAATAAGTGTTGAGCATCCCCTTCCCCTCCCCATTGGCAGATGCCTTTCTTTTCTCTCTTTCTCTGCCCATATTCACAGACCTTGCCAGGACCTCGATATATCTGGAAGTCTCTTCCCCTGTGTCAAACGTGGGTGGTACTGGGCAGCTGCCAGTGGGAACGAGCAGGAACACACGCAAGGCTGCTGAGTCACGTAGCCTAATTTTCCTGGAGAATTGGACTAAACTCCCACCCACGTCACTGTTTCCACTGCCGGGGCAGAGCTGAGCCCTGGTCTCTGCTCCATCATCTTCCCTTTATCTCTCATTGCATAGAGCTGGGCTGCATTTATTAAGGGATGAGCCTCAATACTTGCAAGGAGTGAAATTCTTGAGGCGCAGGAGATAAAATAACCATCACTCACAGCGCCTGTTTACCTTCTAATTGTCACTGACTCCTGCCTTTTCACGTTCCTGGTGCTTGAAAAGGGAAGAATAGATCTAGGCAATGTAATTTTATACACCAAACATACTGGCTTAATTGCAATCCCCATAAGCCAGACACACAAAACTCTAAACAAATTCGATTAATTTATTTCAATTTGCACAAGTCTCCCTCTCAGACTGTAATTAATGGAGGGAAACAATTAAGGTAAACACAGCCCAGCTGAGAGAGCTGTCCTTGCTAAAAGTCACATTTTATTTTAATAATGCTGTATTTAGATAAGTTCCATGCTTTTAACAAGTTTCCCATTTCCTCAATGTTTAATCAGTCCGGTAAATATTTTGCCTGGGCTCAAAGGGTTTTGTGAAATCAGAAATCAGCAGGGAGAGCAGGAGGCAGGGAGAGACCAAATCACCACTGGGCACTCAGGATGAATGTGGCAGTGGGCAGAGATTCGGGCAAGGGGCCAGTATATATACATGTATATATGGTCCTATGTAACATCCCTCTCTCCACACACCGAGATGCTCTCAGGGAGCATTGATGACAGGTTGCTTTGCTGAGGTTTGCTTTGGTTAGGTGGTGAAGAACTCACCAAGCAGGCAGAGCTCATCTCTCCCATTATCTGCAATAAACACTTGTCCTTTACAATCCTACACACTGGACAGCAGCTGATTGCTGTTCACTCAGAGTTTGACAGTCTCCAAGAGACCTGTTAGCACCAGCACTGGCTCTGTGACGCTCTGCCACCCACGGACACGGTGCCACCTGGACCCTGCCGTGGAAGGGGTTGGATGAAAGAGTGCTGGGGGAAATCCTGCACCCCCACCACGTGCTCAGCCTCAGGTGTGTCGCTGTTGTGGGACTGGGGACACCGAGGGGGTTAATTCCTCCTCCAGGTGCTCCCTGGGGAGCTGAAAGGTGGCCCTGAATCAGGTGGTATGGGAGGGCTGGAGAGCAGCCCCTTGCTGCTGGCCCAAATCCAGGGCTCCCTAGTTGCAGGTGTCACACTGCTGGTGTGATGTGGCTAAATGGGTTTGGAAAAGCTTTTTGAATAAGCCTGTCAATGTACATCTGTTTGCTAATGGTGTGAATTACCCACAGTCACGCTAAGGCAGCTCCACCTGATGCATCATCCCAGATATTCTGCTTGGATCTGGGCTTGGCTTTGCACAGTTCCCATGTGCAGCGCAGCCAGTGACACGTCAGTGCAGCAGCAGCTCCAAAATGCCACTGCACAGGAGGCCCAGGCACTTGTCCAGCTGCCATTTGCTCTCTGCTCTGGGTCACCTTCAGCACATGCCCGTGATCACCCCGCTCTGCTTCGTGCAGGACAGGGCACAGGCAGCCTGGCCAGAGGAAGTGGCAGCACCATCGTGTGATCCCAAACACCACCATGGTGTGATTCTTGGGATTGTCCTGTGCAGGGGCAGGAGCTGGACTCGATGTACCTTGTGGGTCCCTTCCAGCTCAGGATATTCTACATTTCAACAATTCTGTGGTTTACCCAGGTGAATAGGCAGGTCCCAATCCAACTGCTACAGCAGTGACTTTGAGTCACTTTTTTCATCACTAGCTATTTTTCCAGCTTTGAATACATCTCGTGGGCTAGTTTCTTGAAAGAGACGGCACATCTGTCTTCATTGCTTTCCTTTTCTTTCCTTTTTTTTTTTTTTTGGAAAAGCAGGAAAAATACAACCCCTCCTTCGTTGCACCAACTGGTATTGCTAAAGGGTGGAAAAAATTAGGTGCTGGTTTTCTGCTTTTTCTTCCCACCTTTATTAGCTTTAACATGTACTGTGCTTCTCTTCCAGCACGAGCGTACCTTGCTAGAGAAGAAGATCTTAGCTCAAACAATCTAGTGTTGATTTTCCGCTCTCTCAAGTACCGGCTGGTCTAATTAGTTTGGAAATGCACCATTTGTTAAAGAAAGATGAGACACAACCTGACACCTGCTGTATTAATTACTTGCCTCTTTTAGCTAATTGTTTGCCCACACTATTAGGTGAGGGAAGTTGTCATCCACGTCTCCTTTGGAAGGTGCCAAATAGGAAGGGAGGAAACGGTGCTGTTGGGGAAGAGGTCAGGTTTGGGGATGGTGGAATTGGGGCCAGTGCTAGCGCTGATTTCTGATTTACACCTCCCCAGGGATGTAAAAAACAGGTGCAGGAGACATCCTGGCATCCACAGAGTGGAGGCTGGATGGGATGGGAAGAGAATTCATTTGGAGAGTGGACTCCTGACTACCATGGACCTTGTTGGGTGACCCTGGGCAGCACATTGCCTCTTCCCACCCCAGTCCCTGCCTGTAAAAGCCAGAAATCATTGCTAGTTGTTGTGGGGATGCACAGGGGAGGAATGCAAAGCATGGAGGCACCTCCTGTGCTGCAGGTCTGGGTGGCTCATCTCCCCTTGGGCAGTGCCACTGAGGAGCCTACAGAGAGACAGACCCATCTCCTCGTGGCTCTGGCTGCTGATTTGGGGCTGAAGCTGTCACCTGCACTGCCACCAAGCCTGGGGCAGAGAGGCTGGAGGTGTCTGTCACTGCCAGCCCAAGCCATGCTGAGCAGGACCAGATCCAGCCTCTCTGCAGGCTTCAAAAGGCACTGTGGGACAGTTCTGTCCCAACTGTGTGCTGGGACAAGGGGTTGCTTCACCTCCCACCTCTGAGCTGAGGCCATGCCCAGCAGGATGGCTGGAAGAGGATGGGGAGCAGGACACCCCACAACTGCCCCAGTCCCCTGCCCCAGTCCCAGGATGGCAGACTGGCTGGAGTGGGGGGAGGATCCCCCAGCACAGACCTTGCATGCCTGGAGAACTGAGGGTGGAGTCACAGTGACATCCTGCACCGGTGCCCAGCTTCACTTCTGTGCTGATGGAGAGTTCAGGGCAGCCCAGCCGAGGCCAGGGCTGAGAGCAGGGCTGATTTTGGGGCTGGGGTGAGAGAAGCATAGCCAAGGCTCTGGCAGCAGCTGATGCTGCACAGCCCCTCCACTGTGCCTTCCTCCTCGCCTGCACTCAGCCTCCTCCTGACATCTAGTGGGAGCAGGGCAACACGGCAAAGGGACCCGGAGCCAGCTCCAGGCTCCCAGACACACAGGCACACACCAGCCGATGGCTGCCAGAGCCACCACAGATCACAGCTGGGCTTCACCAGGGCACAGCTGCTTCTGTAGAGCATTGCTGGGGAGGAATTCAAGGTAAAATTCCTCATGGAGGCAGTTATTAATGGGCTGCCAGGGACCCTACTCTGAGGAATGGGAGCTTTTTAGGGTTATCCGCCATCTCAGACCACTTGAGCCCTCTCCCTCTCTGCTGCTGCTGTTCCAGGTTCCCAGGGTGCACAGCAGAGCTGGGCAGAGGGAGTTCCCTTCTTACCCTTGGTTTTCAATGGCACCTTTGGGAAGCAGAGGGAAGAGGCAAGTGGGGAGCAAGAGACAGATGAGAGCTGTCCCAGCAGGACGTTCCCTCTCCATCCAGGACCACCCTCTCATTTTAGAGCCTGTGCATATCTCCCTGGATCGTCTCTCATCCCTAATGCCAGCTGCCAAAAGCAAGCCTGCTCCCAGCTCCAAGCCCTCTGCCCACAGTTGTAGAGGCAGGACAGGGGCAGATGCTCTCCATAGCATTTGGGGGCCAGCCTCCAGAGTCATCCCACACTGGTCAGCATCTCTACCAGACTGCTCTCCCAGTTCCCATCCTTCCCCAAAGCCTTCAGCTGCACAGACAGGCAGGAGTTTGTCCATCCTGTTTTGTTTCACATATTTTCTGCGCACAAAACCACATTATTTTTTCCCCTTGTTGCCACCTACCCTTGGCTTCACCGTGTTCAGTGTCCACCTTGCCGTCTGCACGCCAGGAGGTCACCTTTCCGTGTCCCCAAATCTCCTGGTAATGCCCAAGTATCTTTATCAACGAGCAGCTAAATGTTAAACACCAGCAACAAAACAACAACGACAAAAAAAGGTCTTTATTTCAATGACCAGAAAGAAAATTTAATCCCAAGAGCAAAGATACTAATACAAACCACAAAGCACTCCAAGCAAACTGGAGCGATTTGCAGGAATCCCTTCCCGGAGCAGCCAGGCGGACGTGTCTCTGGTCCCTGGCTCTTCCCCAGTGTGGACATGGTGCAGAGCCACACTTCTCCCTGCATCCCCCCATGCCACCCCCTTGCTGGAGGGACCCTCAGGGAGCACTCACACCTGGGGAACAGGCAACTCAAGGGGTAGGTGAGGGGCTCAGAGTGGGGGTGTCACTGGGTGAGCTCCCATTGACCCTGCAGAAAAGAAAGGCACTTCTCAAACTTCAGTGTCATCCTGCTACCTGCACACATCTGCCCTGGGACTGTGAGGAATCCCTTCATCACCTACCCCTGCCCATCCTAATCTGACATCCCAGGGATATGGCCCTTTGGGGTAGTCATGGTGCTCCACACACAGCAGCAAAGAGGGGCAGAATACATCTCAAAGGCAGAGGAACAAATGCAGCTCTGAGTTGTCCTCAGCTGTCCTGTGCTCACTATGGTTCATGGGGAGCAAGCCCTCAGCTCCCCCTGACTGTTGCTCCAGGGAGGCACTTTGATGGAGAGGAGGGACAGAGACTTCTCACTCCTGGAGAGAGCAGGAGAGGGAAAGGAGGTGGCCCTGGGCAGGGACTTCTCCGAGGCTATGTCCATAGCTGGGCCCAGTTATGCCCAAAGTCTCCCACCCCAGGCTCAGCACAGCAACACACACAGTAAGAATCACAGCAGCTCCAGCCTGATTTTCTTTCCCATACACACGTCCAACACTCCTCTGAGGGGGTTGTGGAGCCTTTGAGAAAAGCAGGGATAAAATTCTAAAAGCAATGATAATCCAATGACTAAGTAGATGTTACTCCTAAATCAAACCCAAAGCCACTGAAAATTATGGATGGTAGACAAAAATCCCAAACCTCCAGAATGTCCATGGATGAAAGTCGGGTCTGTCCAGATGGATAGTCTTTTCCCTGTGTTTAGAGACAAGCAGCAGCCAAGCACTTGATCCCTTGACAAGGGGCTCATAGCCTCAATCACCAATCCTATCCCCTCCCTGCCCCTCCAGAGATTTGGCTCCCTTTGACTTCACTCTGTGCTTTTTGGGGGATCCCAAACTATTCTGGGTCCCAAGTGCAAGGGTCCAGCCTCAGCTTAGATCCCAATTCTCTCCTGAGGGAGCAGAAAGTTCACAAGAAACATTGAATAGGGGAAAATTGCACTAGTCAAGGAGCAGAAAGTCTCAAAAAGACACTCTCAAACTCCCTCAGCTCCTTCCAGCCCCCAGGTCCGACCCTGTAGCCTGAACCCAGCCAGGCTTGGAACAGCAGCCTTTAGATAGAGGAAAAGCACCAGTGCTGTCCTATTCCCCCCTCCCATGGCACTTCACAACACTGGAGCCAGCAGTCAGGGAAATGGCTGGCAGTCTCCCAGGGAAAGGGGTTGGGGAGCTCAGCACAGCAAACACAGCACAGCACCAGGAAGAGTGGTGGGAAGGGGATGCCTGGACCTGGGCACATTCAAAGAGAGGCATCAACTCATCATGTGGCCATGGAGGTGGTTAGGAGCAGGACCATGAGTTTCAGATTCTTTAATTTAACCTTTCTTTTCAAATAGAAATCAGGCCAAAGTTGGAAGCAGAGGCAGATCCGTCAGCTCCCAAGGCTGCGGGAAACTGTTGGTACTTCCCTGCCTCCCTAGTGCCACCTCTTCCAAGCATCTAAACCTGCTGCACGAAGCAGGACCATCTACCAAAACCCTTATGTTGTCCTTCGAAGTGAAAGAGCCAAAAACTGAAGCCATCCTGGTACTCAGTCCTCTGCCCTAAGGAGAATCCTCCTTAGTGAAGAAGCTGCTCAGCAAGTGATTTTGGCTCTGGAGTCACGACCCAGCTCTCCATCCCGGTATCTCCATTGGCAGTGGCACCAAACACCTCAGAGAGGTGGCATGGACGGTGTAGCGTCACTGCCGGCGCAGCCCCAGCCCTGCCGAGCTGAGGTCACTTCAGGAGGAGGGGGGAGCTGTCAAACCACACACAAACCCACGAAGTGACACAGAGAACCCCTCGGGGCGGGGGTCGGGCGTGGGGTCAGACACGGCCGCGGGGGCCGTGCTCGGGCAGCAGGGGCCGGGCGGGTGGCTGCTGCAGGAGGGCGGCCAGGATGCGCTGCAGCTGCGTGAGGCGGGCGCGCAGGGACGTGCAGGAGAAGAGGTTCAGCTGGTAGGACGGGTCGAGGGGCAGGATGGAGATGAGCCACCAGCACCACGTCGGGCCATCCGCCGAAGCCTGGTGGGGAGAGAGAGGGAAAGACCTCCACGTCAGGAGCTGCAAGGTAAAGGCATGGATGGGATCCCATCGCTGATGGGAAATGGTTGCTCTTGTCAGGACAGCTTTGGCTAAGGTACTCCTCTGAACGGCCCTTTTGCCTGTCCAAGCTCGAGACTGCTGGATAAACTGATTTAATTTCCAGACAAGCATTCCCCAGGGAGTCTCCAGACACAGATGTAACCGCTAAAAAGTCTATATTATAGAGACAGTGAAATATCTTGTGTATTTCCTTGTCTAGGGTAATGCTTTTTGTTAACATGGGTCAGATCCTGCATAACCAATGTTTATGGGGCATTGGCCTCCCAGAGGTGAGGTGCAGGCCAGGCAAGTGCAGTCACTGGGCACTGCTTTTGTAAACTGGCTCTTTTAAAATCCAAGTCGAAGTAAGAGGGAAAAGCTCAATTCAGCTGAAGGGGGGGGTGAGTCTTTTGTAATTCCTGAGCTCATCATTAACGTGACTGGTGGCCAGGACAGCCCTAGCCTGGGACAAGCCAGCAAGAGTGTATTTGTAACAATCTACATGGAAACATTTTCTTGAAGGACTGAAAACTAAGTTTTGGGATTTTTTTTTCCTACAGACCCTGAATTTGTCACAGTAATGTAATAAGCAAACAGGATCCTGTCCTCTTAGCTCCTTGCCTCTGGCCAGCTACAGCTGTCTTAAAGCATCACAATGAGAAAGGAGACTGCAGACTCGCTGAGCTGAGGGGTTCACTTCTTTGCCCATTTCTATTTTTTCCAAAGTGTTTTCACAGCCAGAAAGTTCAGTTTCTTAGTTCTCATTTAGCAAAAGACTCTGGGAAAGATTTTAAAACTCGGTGCTCAGTTTCCATAAAGTAGCATTGAACAGTTTTACGAGACAAGCCCTGCCACCCCTCTGAATGAGATGCTGTAACAGGTAACAGGGCAGAAAAACTGAATTTCCTTTGTCCATCTTGAGGGGAAGCCAAGTAAGGAAGCAGAGTGGTTAGTGCAGGAACAGCACTGCTTCAGAGGCTCTCTTGGTACCCTCTCTGTTTAGAGAATCCCCTCCCTCTGGGCATTACCTGGATGTCCTCTTCCTTCTCTGGCAGTGGCCCATGCTGCATCAAAATGTGCCTGGAGGTAAGGTCTCCGTGCTCACAGAACCGCTGAGCCAGGCGGTAGGTGCTCTCGTGCAGGCACTGCAGCTCCTGCAGCTCCTCCCCGGCCACCTGCATGGAGGGACAAGGGACACAGGAGTCCACAGGGAGGTTCTGTCCCACTGCAGCCCGGGATTTTGCTCGGCCCTGCCCTCACCTTCCTGTCCTCCAGGTACTCGATGTCGGCGGTGTGGTAGCCGTCCCTGTGCCCGCGGCTCAGCACCCGGAACCGCCGCCGGCCAATGGTGTCCACCAGGGACCTCCCGTCCGCCAGCAGCTCGATCTGCCGGATCTCCAGCATGCAGCCATAGTCAGCAAAACTGGGGGGAGACAGGGAGAGAAAAAAGGGCCTGAGCTGGGACACCAGTGACAAGACCTGCTTGTCCTGAAGGTACCACCTCCAAAGGAGGAAAAGGCCCAAGTCTTGGAGGGGGCAAATTCAGAGATTCACTCAAATCTGTTCACAAAGTCACAGAAGGGGTAAGGTTGGAAGGGACCACAGTGGGTCATCTGGTCCAATCTCCCTGCTCAAACAGGGTCATCCCAGAGCACATGGCACAGAATTGCATCCAGACAGTTCTGAAATATCCCCAGGGAGGGAGACTCCACACCCTCTCTGAGCACTCTGTGCCAGTGCGAGGTCACCTGTACAGCACAGAAATTCTTCCTCATGTTCAGGCAGAACTTCCTCTGCATCAGTTTCTGCCTGTTGCCCCCTGTCCTATTGCTTGGCACTACTGAACTGTTGAGTTACCACTGGCAGGGAACAGTGAGCACACTGCCTGTACTCCCTTGGATTTGCCATATACCAAAATTACTCAGCTCCTCACATTGCCCTGATGTCCAGTGGTTCTGAGGACACTACCCCTTTCAGTGACATCTTCCCAAAGCCCAGAAAATGTTATCTATCTCATTTCACTTGAACAGGAGTGGAACACGGGGAGGATGTGTCATGTAAATACAGGTATTTTACAGAATACTTGGGTTAGATGCCTGGAGACCGAGCTCATCTGAGCTCTGGAGGAACATACGGATGGTCAGGTCACACCAAACAAAGGCCCATTTAAACCAGTGCCCTCTCAGAGGTTTGTTAAGAGCAAAGTATGAGAGATATGGCAATTTTCAAGTGCTCGCTAAGAGGATCTGGAGGTCACAGCCAGCAGACAGCTCAGAGATGTCCTGAGCCAGAAGCTGTTCCAAGAACGTTGTATTTAACGGCCATCACTGGCTCTGCACAGCTCCAGTGCTGGCCTCATTCCTTGCCTGGCTCGTGGTGATGCTGGGAGGCAGCGAGATCCCATTTCACTCTGCTGTGTGGGGAACACAGCACCTTCCTGCTGCTTTTATCCATGAAGTGCCACAAGATAGGAAATATCATCAAACTACTCGGAATTTTAGATATTTGGGGCTGGGGCAGAGAGGTGCAAGTCAGCTGGGGCAGAGGGAAGCTGCCTTGCCCGGGAGCTCACCTTTTCCCATTCTCATATATGCACATGCCAAACCTCCTCGTGCCGGTCTCCTGGCACCGCCGGATCATGAGGCGGTAGCGAGGCTCGAAGACGTGCAGAGGGCAGGTGATGCCTGGGAAGGACATGGTGCATACGAAGATGGGGATGTTCTTGGTCAGGCTGAGGGACAGGAGGAGAAACCACTGTGACACCTTCCCAAGCAATTCCCATCCCAATGCATCAGTTGCTTTCCCGAACTAGATGTGTCCTTTACCCCAAGAAGTGATGGTCTGGCACAGAGCAACACTAAAGCTTCCACTTGGTTCCCCAAGAGCCCAAAGACAGATTCTGGCCACAAAACAGCTCTTTGCAAAGATGGTCCTCACCCCCAGGTGCCCCACGGGGCACGTCCACTCAAGCAGCACTGCTGTGATGTGGTCCTGGATGCGAGACAGACATTGCCTGAGCAGAACCAAGCCAGAGCAATGGTATGGGGTGTGGACAGCCCCTTCAGAGCCCCTCCCAGCCTCCACATACACACACATTGGAGCAGGTCCCTGCTTACTTGGAGAGCTCTGCCATCTCAGCCCGGTGCAGCTCCTGGCGCTCGGCCAGCTGTGCAGGGAAGGTGGCCAGCATGATGTCCTGCAGCAGCACAGTGGGGCTATACCTTCCAGCCTTCAGGTACTAAAAGAAATTAGGTCCAGAAATAGGTTGGAGAAGAGCAGGGAGGAAGCCCTGAGGCCCTGCTGGGCTCTGAAACATACTCACGTTTATTGTAGCTGAGCGTAATTTTAGATCGGAGAAAGTCAGGGATAAAAACCTATCAGGGGATGTTGAGCCATCTAACAGGATGGGATGTCAGCTCCACCGAGACCTCTGGACACAGCACAGAGCCAGGGCCCGTCCCACACAGCGTCCTGTCTCTGACAGTGATGCAGTCCTTGTATGACAACCTAATTTCCCTGATGGTCTCATCCGAATCCCTTTTCATTAAAGATTAAATCAAATCTCCAGGCTAGAAGGTTTTCCATCCATTTCCATTTTTTAAAAGTAATTAGCATTTGCCTCTCTCTCTCTCCCCCTCTCTCTCTCTCTCCCCCCTCTCTCTCTCTCTCTCTCTCCCTCTCTCTCTCTCCCCCTCTCTCTCTCTCTCTCTCTCTCTCTCCCCCTCTCTCTCTCTCAGCCCTGTTTACAATCTCACTAAATCACTGTGGCATCTTGTGGAAATGAATCTCTTGGTCTTAATTATCAGCTGTCTGGTCATTCCCCTGTGAGTGGAGCTGACACTGCTGTGCCAGGGAGCTGCTAAAGTAGGAGCATTGCACCTTCCCACCCCAGTCCTGGGCATGCTGCCAGCAGCCAGAGCTGGTTCCCTGCTCTCCTGTGGGCTCCATCCCGTGGGACACATTCCCTCACCTCTCTCAGGCTCTGTTTGCAGAGGGGGCAGCTGGGCCGGTGGTCCAGGCAGCGTTCGAGGCACTCCTTGCAGAAGGTGTGACCACATGGTGTTGTCACTGGCTCGAAGAACATCCTGCAAAGGATAATCAAAGTCAAAGGATTGCAGAGAGCAACAAAGGGAAAGGAGTACAGGTCAATCCAGCTGGGTGCACTCAAAGCTGTCGTTCCCCAGGCCTGGCTCAGTACCCTGCTTTGGACACACTGGCCCAGCTCAGCCCCATGGTGAAGGGGTCCCACAAAGCACTCAGCGATTGCAGAGGCTCAGGTAGAGCAGATCAGGGTGGGCAGACCCGTGGGCACAGCTTTTGGCTATCCCCAGCCCTGTATCTGCTTCTTCCTTGAATCATCTTACTGTGAGCAAGAGATTTTGCTTCCAGTAGGAATAACACATTTCCCATGTCTCCTCCTACCATTTCAAGGTAGATTTGCTCCCTGTACCAGACTTTTGCACTGAAGACAGTGATGCTGTGGGGATGCAACACCATGGAAAGTGATCTCACACTGTGCCTTCCAACTCCTGGCAGCCCATGGCTCTGCAATTCACTTTCGGTAAAGCTGCACTGGTTGAGCTTTGCTCATAACTTCTCTTAATTAAACGTAAAGGTTTCTTATTGGCTTAGTCCTTTAATTAGAAGTCTGGGCTCAGACTGTCGGACTTGCTCAGGCCTGAGCACTGTTCCTCATCTCTCCATGGAGTCCCAGCAGACCCCATCAGTACACACATGGCACCCCTTGGTTCTGGTAGGGCTATGGTTCCCCAGACACCCACAGTGGTCTCTAATCCAAACAACAGCGACAGGAAAGTGCCTCCTTCTCCTCTGCTCCAGGAGCAGAGCCAGCAACAAGCACTTGGGTTGCTCACAGGCAGCTCCACAATCAGAAATGAAATGAAGGCATCAGGAAAGCTCTGTTCAGCACAGAGCCCTGACTTCTCCTCAACACTGTTCCTGCTCTCAGAAGAGACCTAAATTCACCTAATTCAGATCAGATCTCTCACACCCCTCCCATGTAATTCCCTCATGCCATGTCCAGACCTGGAAAAAGCTGTCATGCACAAGACCTTGACCTACTTGTATGTCTGGCAGTGGAACACCAAGCCCTCTGCCAGTAGCCACTTGCACAACTGCTGCTGGGACACACCAGGAATAACAGCCTGGTTTCAGCATGCCCTGTGGCAGTGCAACACCCAGCCCTTTCCCAGCCCTAGCCAGCACACAGACACAGGCTCTACCCTGTCCCCTTTTCCACCTCCAGCAGGCACAGAGCTTGGACATGCTTCCCCTCTGGGTTTGCAATATCCCCATCATGGATATTTCCCTGGGAAAACACCTTCCTGTCCCAGCCTGCAGGCACAAAGGGCCACCACTGCTTTTGGTCTTTGACCCTGCTGAACATTCCCACCTCCACACCTGCCTCCCAAGGGATACAGACCTAATGATGCTGCACCCCGAGACAGGGTAATCTGAGCTCCTCCAGCCTGGCAGAGCATGGCATGCCCTGCCCTCCCCTCTTATCTTTTATTTCCACTGAAACGTATATCTCAGCAGTACTTGGGACTGAGTTTCCTATTAAGATGTGAAGAAAGATGCACATCAGCATTGAAAACCCAGCAGGTGTTAATTCTTCATCCTAAAAGCTCTCCTGACAGAGAACTCACCGTATGCAGAGGGAGCACTCCAAGTCAGATATGCTCAGCAGCTCCCCAAGGCACAGCTGGGGACACTTTGCTACTGCTGTTTCCTCTCCATTATCTAGTGGCAAAAGGGAAGGAAAGAGAAGACAACCCCCATTTCAATACAGAAAATCAATCTCTGTTTTCTAATCTTGTTCTGAGGCATAACTGCCTCACAGAGTGTTCTGAAAGTGTCAAAGAAAACAAAACCATTAGGAAATGCAATATTGCATTTATTAACCCACCCATGTTCACCCATAGCTGGTACATCAGTGGGTCTCATGGTATTTGTTAGAGGAAGGTGGTATCTCCTCCTTTTGCAGGCAGGGAAACTGAGGCACTGGGAGGTGAAGCGGCCTAAGAAGCTCCAGGATGGAAGCCTCTGGAGACCTGCCACGAGTCACCATCACTGCTTTATGTGAACCCAGGTACGTGGCAGCCACCTGGCTGGGTGCTGATGGCAAGTTAATGCCAATAGAGGTGCTGCTTCCCCAACCCATGACATGCCATGTCCCTCACATGGAATTTAATCTAAATTTCCACCAAAACCCACCTAAACCCATGAGAACCAAAGAAAGCCTCTCCCTGATATGGAACAAGGGATGTCTCACTTTAGCCACCATCTAGAGCCAAGCTTGAGCCTAAAGTTTGGTATAAGTTCACCAGTTCAACACAAGAAGATTGGATGGATCCTCCTTACAGGCATGAGAAGCAGTGAAAGTGCTGGCCAGAGCTGCCCCATGGGACGTCTGCTCACTGAGCTGGAGCACAGTGAAAACACCAAGTTTTCGGTGCCAAAATGGATTTTAAACAAGCGTTTTGCATGTGACAACATTCTGGTACCTTTGATAACACTCACCTACCAACTCCTGGCTCTGACTCTCTGCTGAAATCTCCAGTTCTTGCCGTCGTCCCAGCTGGGAAAGGCTGTGCTCAGACACAGCGTCCTCTCTGCCATCTGCCAGCTCTCCTTCCTGATCCTAGGCATAGCAAAGATGAAATGTAGCCCAAACCCTCTTGTACCTTTGAATGCACAGCCCCATCTGTCCCACCAAGCCCAATGGCACTGGGAGGCTTTTCAGTGTGTTGCTGTACATTAATATCTTGCATCTGTAGAACAGCAGGAGAGTGTGGCCTTCACACATTCCTGCTCATCTCATGGTTAAAACCTGGGTTCACTATGTCCAGACCTACTACCTGCTATTTGGTGTGTCTGAGCCCAGTTTCTTTGATTTTCCTCCTCTCTCCAAACCTGCTAAATTTGTCTATAAAAGGCAAAGAGTAAAATATGAGATTTCCTTAACAGTTGCTAATAACCTGAACTATTCTCAGATGCAGTCTTTAGATGAAAAAAAAATTAAAACTCGCTTTTTTTCTTTTTATTTTTTTTCTCAATGTAGTGTGACTTGGGTGTTTTAAATACAACGAGAGTCTAAAATATTTGTAGAACAAAACTGGGAGAGGAATTGAGAGAGAGCTTGCTCTGTTTCCTCAGTCCCCACAGCATCAGCTCTGATGGTATCTGCTCTCCCACCCTCCACTACCTGCAGATTCTCGCCCCAGTGCACAACCATATGCACAGCCTTCCCTTTCCCATCACTGGAAAACCCAAAATTCGGATGTCCCAGAAGGACATTAAGTTTCACCACAGACTCAGATCACTGCAGACTCTTACCTGAGCTTGTGTGAAAGACGATAGGAGCACAGGGCTCCCTCCATTGACCTGGGAACCAGCTGAGCTCAGGAGAGCATCACCCTGGTGTGCAGCAGCTGTGAGAGGCTGAGGAGCATTGTCTTGCACGAGGATCTGCAAGGAGAAAGCAGGGGTCAGGGGATGCTAGGAGAAGGAGGCAGGGAGGTAGGAGGACAGCCAGGCTCCCTCTTTCCCCAAAGCAGCTTCCTGCTTGCCAGAGAGTATGTTTGGGTTACTTGTTTCACTGCTGGTCAAGGACTCAGCTGAGCCCTTCAGAGCACAAGGACATCTCCCTGTGTGATGTGAGGGCACTGGAACCCACCATGGTACATCCCACACACCTTCTCCATCTCTCTCCGAGCAGGGTGGAAATGGGGACTGAGTGTCAGGCAATGTTCCCACACCAGTAGGGCTTCAGCTCTCTGTCCCATCTCCAGAAGCACCTTCCCTTTCCTGAAGAAGGCCTGCAGAGCAGAAAAACCTGCAGTGACTATGAGACAGTGACCAGCTGAGTATGTGCCCTTTCAGTTCCCATGTGAGGCCCAAGGGAATCTCCCTCCAGCCTCCTCCCATCCCAAGACAAAACATCTGGACACGACCCTGCTCCCATGCTCAGACTTGCCTAAAAAAACGCAAGACTCTCCAAAATGCAGCAGTTGCAAAAGCCAGGCTGACAGAGAGCTGGAATCAAGGACAGACATGGTGACAGACCTCTCCCATGAGAGCAACTCAGCACTTGCTGCCTGGATTGGCAACCTAATGGGTCTGTCAAGTATATTTCTGAGCAGAATGAATCCAGTGGCTAGGAGAACTCAGGAAAGACGGAAATTGGTCCCATACAGTAAGATTTGACTCCAAGTTTAGTCAGCTGATGGGTCTCTCCTCCACTCACCTCATGCTCTCCAGGCTCTGCCCTGCACACAGTGTCCAGGTCCTCCAGCGCCTGTGGATATTGCCCCAGTGCCACACATGCCTCTGCCCGGCACAGCCGCAGGGAGCTGGAGTCTGGGGCTGGAAAGAGAAATGTTGTCACTTGTGATGAGTCCGTGGTGAGGCAGCAGGGATGGATAAGGCTGGGGAGACACCCCCAAAGTGGGACAGTCCCTGCGCCGCTGCCTCACGCTGAGCACAGCCAGGTCCTGCAATGCTCTTCATCAGGAGTCGCTGGCCTCATACATCTCTGCAAGGAAGTTATTTCCTCTAAATATCTAATTTTAAACTGTTTGAGGCTCTTCCCTTTGTTTTTTCCCCCATCTTCCCCAAACAGCCTCAGCGAAGAAGCCCCATCCCCACCATGCTGGGATTTGGGCTTTTATCCATCTTTTTGGGATGCAGCAGAAAGGTTCTACCATACATGTCTTCCCTATGGGGCTGCAGCCATGGGAGGCTCTGCAATGTGATTCACCCAGCAGAGCCACAATAACATGTTACCAAACAAGACTGCAGCTATGGATACCTGAATTCCCAAACCACCAGGGAGCCTCCTGGGCCTACCTGGCTGCCACTGCTCTCCCAGGGCAGAGGAGAAGCTGGGGGGGTGCAAGAATCTGCCTCCACTACATGACCTGGGGTTTCCAAGTATCACAGTGCTGGGTGCCCCACATGCTCCAGCCTGCTCCCAAGTAACTGACAGTGAAATCCTCTTCTTTCCTGCCTTGGAAAACCCCATAAAGACCTTCCTTCCTATCAGCAGTGCCAGCAGGAGAAATGGGTTGGTGGATGTCAGGGAGAATGAGCAAGCAGCACCCCAAAAGCCCACAGTCATGGAGTATGGAGTAACCAGGTGTGGTAATGTTTGTGGGTTTAAACTGCAGAGATTTCCAGACCCACCCCATTATATCCTAGCTCATGGAGGTGACCTACATCCATTGCTCTGCTGGCTTTCCAGCTCAGGGAATGGGTCTGTGCATCCAGCCCTGCATTCCCCCATCTCTGAGCATCAGGCTGCAGTTGCTGAGGGTTGGGGCTGGGGACCTGCTGGGAGCAGCCCTTCTGGGGAGGCCACCAGTGTCATGCAGGTCCCCTCATTGGCTCCCAGTTCCCCGTGAGATGATGGTAGGTCCAGCACGGGTAGCATTTGTGGCGGCCCTGCAGGATGCTGGCACTGAAGACAACCTTGTATCACAAATTAGGCACCATTTGCAGGCACTGCTGCTGCATTTACTGTGGCAAAGTGGTGTGGGCAACTCTGCCTTGCATCTCTCAGGTTCAAGCTGGGTACATGGGCCTGGCTGGCAGCCGATCAGGGATCATCAGGAGACACCGCTGATGATGCCGCCTCCTGTGCTTCCAAACCTGGCAGCATTTCCTCCTGGCCTGGTTCAAACACAGTGCTGACACAGCTCTGCCAGCAAACTGCAGGTCGGGACTAGCAGCTCTGTGACAGCCAGGCACAGGAAATATCTGCCCACTTCCCTGCTCACCTCTGCTGCTCTGTGCCCAGGCACCCACTGACCTGCCCAGGCACCCACCACTTCTTATCACAGAGCAGAGGAAGCTCTGCCATGGCTATTTCCTCCTTGTCCCCCGTGCCCAGCATGGAGCACAGCCAGACTTTGCTCCTGGTTCCACCCTAACCCAGAGAGCAGCAGAGAGCCCAGGCACAGCCACTCCTGCACCAAGGCTGCCCTGGCCACACTGAGCTGTGCAGCAGAACAAAACCTGATCCCTCAGAGCTTGTTTTCATTTAAGATATTAGCTGAGACCTTAGGGCTCAAGTCAGTGGGAACTTGCTGCTCAGTACCCCGTCCCACAAGCACGCATCCAGAGACGAAATATCCCAGCCACTAACAACAGACAGGGATGAAGAAATGGGTACAAAGTCTAGAGGCTTATTTTCCATGTGGGCAAACCCAGTCGAACACTTGCACAGCAACAAAGTAACTGATTTGGAAAAAAATCCCCAGATGTGTAAAACGGGGCAAGGAATTCTGCATTTCTCTTCTGCTGCAGCTATTTTTGATCTATGATATCATTAGACACCAGGGCCATAAGCCAGCTGGCAGCTGGACAGACTCACCAGCCTCCATGCTCCAGGCATGTCAGAGGGCCTCCTGTGTTACGTGTTAAAGTGCATTTTTCTGTTGTTCACTTAGAAAGCATGAAGATTAAAAGTTGACAGCTTATTTTCACCCAAGCAAAGAGAGCTGGTCTGCAGGCTGGGCTGAGCAGGGCACTGCAAACTGGCCCATCATGCAACACTGAACCACAAAAAAACCATTCCCGTGGGTCAAACATTAATCAGGGGTTCTGTTTGAAAGGGAAAGGGAGCCCATAAGAAGTTGTGCAGCTGAACGCTGTCTGCAGGAGCTGGAAAACACATCCCGAAAGCACCACCCACGTGGCTGAGCCTGGCAGCACCAGCAAGCACAGGTTCACTGGAGCTGAGGCTGTGACTGCAATTTCCTTATTGCCCTAAGCCAGACTTTCCTGTCCTTCGGGGAACAGAACGTGCGCGGGAAAGCCAGGACAGAGGTTGCAATATTTCCTCTTTATACCCACAAAGGCTTTTTAAAAAGAGGTTGGTACACCCCGGCCAGGCAAAAGCCTGGCAATAAGGCAAGCAGTACCAGAGAGCTGTGCGCGTGCCTTTGCGCCGAAGGACGGGTGTGCAGGGAGAGACGGATGCCTCTGGAGGTTGCATAAAAGGACCTGCTTTCTGCTGCCAACACCAGGATCGACCGGTCGGCTCAGCCCTTCGTCTCCAACCCTGAACCTCTGGCACTTGTCTCGCAGCAGGCGATGAATAAGAGCCTGAGCTGCGGGAGGAGAGCTGACTGCTGTCATAGAAACGCCGCGGAGAAAAGAAGTTCTGCCTCCGTTGCTCCAACCCCCTGCTCCAGAAGCATTGTATAACCCCTTTTATTTAAGTATTACTTTCCAAGAAATCCACTTACAGCCACAGATCAACCCCCTCACCCTGGGCCCGATCCTGGCCCTGCAGGCAAATGTCTCGCCAGAGCCGGTTGCCAAAGGGGGCCAGGATGGGGGGCTGACCTGCACCATGGGGCTGGCACAGGAGCTCGGCCAAGGCTGTGTCCTCGCCAGGCTCTGGGGCAAGGACGTGTCCATCTCGGACTGGAAAAGTCCCAACCACTTTACATAATGCCCTCCACTCCCAGGCAGAGCTCTTCCTCTGACCCTGAAATATTGCCAGGAGGCAAGATGTGAGTATCTGCTGCTCTTTCCCCTCCAGAAGCACGTGGCCGATGGGACACAGGCAGTGAGCCCCGACCACAGCCCTGGCAGCGGGATGAGCAGCGGGGCTTGCCTGGCAGCCCACCGCTCCCATCACCTCGGGACATGCACGGAAAAGGAAGAAATGCCCAGCAGCTGCACTCCCATCCCCATCCCCACCAGCCCTGCCTTACAACATTTCCACCTTCCCACGTCTTCCAGCTCTGGACTGTGCAGGCTCGGAGTGCCATGAGGTGCTGGGACACAGTGGCCTACATTGGTATCCACCTGCTCGAACAGCCCAGCCCGTGCATCCCCGTCTCTGCTGCTGGGTTGGCCCCTCGCACCCCACACCCGCACCCCACCATCCGCACTCCCAGCCCCTGAGCCCGGATGGTCCTTACCCAGCTCGACCCCTCTCTGCGCCATCCTCAGCGCCTCCCGCGCGTCCCCGCGGGTCAGGCGGTCCCGGGCGCGCTCCGCCAGCCCGGCCAGGAGCCGCTCCCGCTCCACGCACCGCTCCAGGAGCCCGCACAGCACCACGCTGCTCCTCGCCGCCCCGACGCCCCGCAGCTCCAGCCGCTCCTGGCACAGCGGGCAGTGGGACAGCCCGGCCCCGCCGAGGCACGGCTTGCAGAAGGAGTGACCGCAGGACACGGTCACCGGCTCCCAGAGGAGCAGGAGGCAGGAGGGGCAGCGCAGCAGGTCCAGCCCCGCGCCCCCGGCGCCGAGGGGCTGCGGGCTGGGGGGGCCGCTCATGGCAGCGGCCGCAGCCGAGCAGGGCGAGCTGCCCTTAGGGCCGGCGGTGCCCGCACGCTCCGGCCGCCGCCGGGGCCCCGCGCATTGCCCCGCTCCGCCCCGCCCCGCCCAGCTCAGCCCATCCTCCGCGGGGCTCCCGGAGCGGACCGTGCGGCCGGAGGGACCCCCGGGCGGCCCGGCGGGGGAGCTGCCCGGGCGCCATTGGCCGCCGCCGCCCCGCCCCGGCCGCGTTTCGTAACGGAGCCCGCGGTACCGGGGGCGAGGGGCGGCCCCGGGCGGGGCCGTGTGCTCGTGTGCCCGTGCCCACCCCCGGGCCGGGTTACGGCGGCGTTGGGGGGCTCCGGAGCAGCCGCGGTGCGGGGTACAAGCCGGGAGCTGGACCTGAATGAAGCTTTGTGGGGGGCGGTGGAGAGCTCTGCACCAGCTGGGCACGGGGTCCCGGGGGGTCTGGGGCAATCTGGAGCAGGAGCAAGGTGCAGAGTGCTGCGAGGTGTTTTGGGGTGTCCTAGAGTGTGGCCAGGGCACTTTAGAGCCACCCGTGGTGCGGGCTGCCTGGGTAAATGGGGTGCTGTGGAGCAAGGCTGGGGCAAGAGTCCTGGGGGATACAGGGTGCTCTGCAATGGGGACAGGAAAGTGGGATGCTCCAGAGCAGCTGGGCACAGGGTACCTGGGGTCCCTCAGCTGGCTGAGACTCTCCAGAGTGGGATTAGGGTGCAGGCTCTTGTGGTGCTCCAGAGAAGGGAGGGGCTGGTGAGGCTGCAGTGCATCAGGTGTCTCTTTGCAGACCCCTCCATGGAAACCCATCATCTCAGGATGTTTGGGGAGAGAAAGATGTCCCTCCAACATCTGAGGTGTCTCCCTCAGCTGTTCTACTTATCCAGAATTGAATGAATTCAGACCCTGTATGGGGACAATCCCAGTCCCACTCACGGACCCCCAGGATGGGCTCAGTGTCCCAAGGGAGATGTATCCCACCACACAGCCATACATCAAAAAGGTCAGCAGCTTTTGCATAGCAGGTGCAGAGAAAAACAGCTGAAATCTGGCAACTGTGGAGCTTAGTAGATCAGACTTTATATAAGGATGATGCAAATTCCCCAAGGGCTCATTTGTGTGTCCCCACAAACAAGCCAAACCCATGCACGCACTGGAAGGGATGCTCAGGGAGGGGGATCACCAGCAGGACATGAGTACTAGTGAAACCCATGCCCCACTGAGGGAGTGGCTGGCGGAGGTTTGGGCTGTGGAGCAGGTTTTGTTTCAAAATCTACTGCAATTGCATTAAACAGCTCATGGGTGGCTTTAAAAACTCAACAACTAAGCATTTTATGTGCGCTCGGAAGGCTTCGCTGCTTTCTCCGTTATCTTTTCAAGTGATCCCTCCACACTGGAGAAATCTCAGATGATGTTTGGCAGCACAGCCCCGAAAACCTGAGTATGGCATTAGGGACAGTGATCACACTAGGACCGTTGGGGGGTTGTCTGGGACTCTGCCCTGGGGGGGGACATTTTCCATATTTCCCATCCACGGAATCAGTCTTTGGTTCCCCTCCGATACGGACCTTCCCCTTCATTTCCCCCAGCAGTTCTACCATGGGCATTTCTCAGGTAGGCAAGGCTCATTTATACCAGATACTCTCCTCTCATGGTTTAGTTTTCTCCATGGCTTGTTTTTCCACCAAACCTTGGCTATTGAATAAAACAGAAGATTGCCACCAGGGAGTCCTCATCATTCTTACCTCCAGGTTACACCTCAAGAAGGGCACGTTCGTGGCTCCTGAGCCATGAAATGAGGGTGACTTCAGCTACGGTGACCAACATTGCAGTGATGTACTTGAAGAGTGCTCCCATAACCTGTTTGTGTGGCTCAGCCTGGGTGCAGCAGCCCTTTGCCAGGGGCAGCTGGAATCAGGTGAGGAGCATAGCATCTTTCATAACCCCAGCCAGTTCCTCTGGGAGACACCGGGCTGTTCGCCTGGGACCTGCCTCATTCTTTTCCTCACCTCCTGATTCACTCCACAACCATTCTCACGTGTGTGGGCTCTCCAGCGCCTCGTAAGCGGCGAGGACGTGCTGCTGCCTTTGCATAATACAGTTTAAAATCAATCAACCACGACATGCGAGTCCACTGGAAACCAGGCTTCATTAGCATCGGGGCAAGAACAATTTGTTTTCTTCATTCCACCCAGAGCTGAGCTGGTTCTGAACTCTGAATGCCTTCTCTTCTCACTGCCGTGTTCGTGCTGACTCAGTACATAGCTGCCACAGAAAAAAAAAGCTTTAAATGCTTAATGCTAACCATTCTGCTGGCCAGATGAGAACTTCACGTGTTGCATAACAGAGGACAGACCACGCTGTGTTTAGGAAGTATTTGCAAAGCACAATAGGATTTTTTTTTTTTTCAGTTTAAAGGTGGGAAACAGCTCAGGTCAGTGCAGGGTGAGGAGTTCCAGGTGTTGCTGCAGGGGAAACCAACTCCTCCTCTGGCTCCCAGCCACACATCCACTTGTGCTTCGGCTCCAGTACAGCCTCATTAATGTGGTCCTGACTGTTGACAGCCCAGCATGGGGGTCAGGGATTTCACTCCAGCTGTGTTTGCTCATTTTTAGTGCATAAATATTTACTGCAAGCACTGACACTTGTTTTTGACACACTAGGGATTAAGGAGTGGCTCTGAGGTGACAGCACCTTCCCAGTGCTGCCCTTTTTTTTTGTTCGGAGAGAGGAGGTCTGTGTGCTCCTTAGAGTCTCTTCAAAGGCACCACAAACACTTGTAAACAGGAATAAGAACCCTGAATGTCATGACTCCTTTTCCACACTGCTATCCTCACTCTGCCCACCAGCCTCCTCCTGCACCATCAGACCTGAAAGTCCTGTTGCACAGAGGTAAAACAAGCTTCTCCATTTCCAAAGCCAGGGAAGGAGGAAAGCATTGGCATCCCAGCCAGGGAGGAGGAGTGTTGCTATAAGCAAGGGCCATGTGGGGTTGACAGTCGCATTTCTAAGTGCCAGGCAGCCTGCTGGGTCATCAGGAAAAGAGCCAGGGCCAAATCCAGTCTCAGCACCTGTGCAAACCCACTCATGGTTTACTCATGGCTTACAGGACCCTTTCAGCAGTGCTGCACCTGGATCCTGGCTGTCTGCAAGCCTTGAGAGTTGGCCTAAGGAATTATTTTTACACCTCAGTACGTGCAAATAACATGCAGGGAGTTATGTGCATCATCCCCCTCCCAGCCTGTCAACAAACACATCAGCTTCCTGGAATTTTTGTTTTCTTTACATCATGGTATTTCTAGATCCAGGATGTTATTCAAGCACCAGGTTTGCCACATGTGGTTCAAAGCCGGTCCTGGGAAGTGATGCAAAAGGAAGTGGAAGCAGGTGGTGTGGGAGACTCTTTGTCCACAGTCGCAGCACATCTTTTATAACAATCACCTTTTCTCTCAGGTCTCTAAGGGGACCTGCTCCATGCCTGGTTTTCTCTTGGCAGAGGCAAGCAGATTGCCACACTGCTGCATGAGGTTTGGGATTTGAGGCCTGCAATGTGCTGACCAGGCACTGGGCAGGGAGCAGTCATATAAATTACATAGTACTGTTCCCAAGTCCTGAAACTGCTGCTTGAGAGGTCAGAGAGGTCCTGACTCTCTCAGTAAGAAGGATCAGATGTAAACAGGGTCAGAGAATTAGGAAAACTTTAGTATTTTTTTCCTTCTGACTCATACAGGCTTTGCCTGAGGCAGCATCATTCCTAGAGAAATGAGTTGACTTTCACATGGATTGATGGGACACAGAGCTGCAATGTAATGTTATCTCACCGTTCATGTAACCAGGCTTATATCTGAACTCCTGGAAACTGGAAAGTCACAGTGTGAGAGCCCAGAGCAGTATCTGACTCATTTTGGTCTCTTGAGCCAAACATCTTGGCAAAGAGGTTGGCAGAACATTATTGCTCAGTCTTGAAAGCATGTCCCACATAAAATGGATGGAGATGTCTTTTTCCACAGCATGGGCAGTCATGTACAAACCACATAACCCTAAGAAGAGAGTACAGGTAAAAGCAAGATCAGAACTGTCCACATTATCCAGGGGGAAGCCCTAGGATGGGTGACAAGACCATGATCTGTGGTGCAGGGTGCTATAAGCTTGCCTTGATGCTTTGCAGTTGTTTCATTGATGTTTCAAGGGCAGCTGTAGGAGAGATCCCACGGAGCAGCCCAAAGTCAGCATGGCTTGTTCTGCATCACCTAATCCCAGGGTGCAGAAGGACACGGATAACATAACCAAGTGATTAAAGGAGGAAAAGTCATAAGGAACCCACTCCTTGAGGACATAATTCCACCTTTACATTGCAGCAAGGTCCACCACTTCCAAGGAGGTTGTGTCCACAGGGAGCTGCATCCTAGTGGGCCAGACCTGGAGGTGACATCACCCACTTCATCTCCTGGATGGGGAGAACTGATTTGTGTCAGGTGTTACTGCAGGGTCAGACAAAAGTTGCCAACTTCCCAAGCTGCTGTGTGTCCATATGCCTGACCTGGGATGTGTGGCAGGGGGTGACACCGTGATGGCCCATCACTGGAGCTGGGGACTCACCAGGCTGCCCTGCCCCACTCATTCCCCATCCCATACGGCCTTGGCTCCTCGCCCCAGCCAGAAGCGAGTACATGCCGCCTCCCTAATTTCTTCCTTTTTTCACTTTTCCTGTTTAGCTCCCACCCACCTGACAGAGATGCCAGCAGGCCTGGCAGGGACCCAGCACCGCCTTTGCACTTTGCCAGAGGAGGCTGCAAGTGGCAGCGGGTGGGCTCTGCAGGTGGCAGAGCCTGCTCTGCAGGAATGCCTCTGTCCTGCCATGCTCAGGCCAAGTCCAGGGTCCAGCTTGTCCTACTCATCCCTCAACTTAATAGGTCACAGGAGGTGCTACTGGCAGAGGAGCCCAGCTCACCTTTACAGGGCACCAACTGGAAGGAAGTTGGCTGGTGCCAGAGAGGTTGTCTGGGTGCAGGGCAAACATGGACAAGCACTGAAGTCCTGCAGCTGAGCAGGTCTTATATGAATAGTCCCTTCCCCAGTGGCCAAGAGCTGCTGGATGAGTGCTTTCCCAGGCTGCACTGCCTGGGGGGCTGCAGATCTTTCCCCTTCTCTCTGCTCTTGGTGTTGGTTCCTGTACAGACATTTTGCCAGATGAGCTTTCTTGTGTTG